AACATAAAAATATCTCTTTTTTGTGGGGATTAAGTGGAATACAGTATATATATATATATATATATATATATATATATATATATATATATATATATATATATATATATATATATATATATATATCCACTTAACTGAAAGAAGCCAGGCTCGAGAAACCCATGGAGGGCGGCGAAGACAAGCCAGTCCGATCTCCTGCCGCAGCGATGGAGGAGGAGGTTCCGGCGGGTCTTACGGCGGAGGAGTACGCGGAAATCCGGCCAAGGATCGAGTCCCACCACAGGTACCGCGTCGGGCAGGGGCAGTGCTCCTCCCTCCTCGCCCAGCGGGTCCGGGCACCCGCCGCCACCGTGTGGTCGGTGATCCGGCGGTTCGACCAGCCGCAGGCGTACAAGCACTTCATCCGGAGCTGCGTCGTCAAGGGCGGTGGCGAGATCCGGCCTGGGTGTCTCCGCGACTTATGCGTCGTCTCCGGCCTCCCGGCGAGCACCAGCACCGAGCGGCTGGACCTCCTCGACGAGGACCTGCGGGTGACCGGGTTCTCCATCGTCGGCGGCGAGCACCGGCTCCGTAACTACCGTTCCGTCACGACCGTCGACGATCTCCGAGGTTGCGGCGAAGAGATCTGGGCGGTGGTGCTGGAGTCGTACGCGGTGGACGTGCCGGATGGCAACACGGAGGACGACACCAGGTTCTTCGCCGACACCGTCGTCCGCCTCAACCTCCAGAAGCTCGCGACCGTGGCGGAGGCAATGGCAGCGGCCGAGCCGTCGCCGTCGCAGCCGCCCGCGGAGAAGGGGAACTAAGAGGACCAACCCCCGCACTCACGGCCGACGACTCGACGAGAGATGTCGGCGACGTGACGCAATAACGAGGTAGTCTTGACCGTGTAAATTTACATAAAAATCCTTCTACTTCAGTAATATCACAGGAGCCCCGGGCGGTGTGTCTCGGTTGCCAATATCTTGCCGAAGCAGGGGTGTCACAGTAATTTCAACTTCTTCTTCTTCTTCTTCTTCTTCTTCTCCCCCTTTGACTTGTTTTGTGGTGGAATCGGGTCTGTGGGAAAAAGGCATTTAATGCTCCAAAATAAACAACTAAAGATGCGTGCGTCAGAGAAACTATGTGGTACGCAAGCACATATGCAGATGCACCATCCCATTTCTCTGCCGTCGTCATCATCATAGTATTATTGTTATTATTATATTTTTGGGGCTGTTGAAGGTGGTGCATTGCTTTGCTAGTGGCTCGTGACCAAGTTCGATCTTGCACACCCAAGATTGCCTGCTAAAGATTTGTGGCCCCACGAAGCGGTGGCGGTGGCGGTGGCGGTGGCGGTGTCTCAACATGTCTTGTACCACTGTCAGCGGAAAGAGAAAACAGTGCAGCAGTAGTTGTTCCTCCGAGAAACCACATGGTTTTTCTTTGGAAGAAGGAAAGAACATTTGAAAGATGAAAAGTCCTCAATGGTTTCTTGCAAAGCCACACTAAAAACCATAAGATCTCATTGCTGTTTGATACATGGAAATCATGCAAGTCTTTTCTGTATTGTGGCTGTGATGCTTCTAAGGATCTCACTGCCTCTTCATTCGGTTCCATGCTGATGCTAAATCTCCATAACCTCATATCCTTTTCTTTATTTCCCTCTCTCTCTCTCTCTCTCTCTATATATATATATATATTGAAGTGTGCGTTAATTTAATGTCAACGTTGCTGTCATTCTTGTTCATCTTCGAATAGAAAAAAGTAAGGGGGGGTAGCGCTGAAAGAAAAGAAAGGGAAAGAAAAGGACTGAGACATGCAATAAATAAGATATATACAGTAAGAAGACTTCCTACGCCACATTGCAGTGTCATGAAAAGGATTCTGAAGGCTAAGAAACACCAATCCAATCAGAAAGAAAAAGAAGAGATGCTCCAACCAATCATGTACGGCTCTTATCTCAACCAAGACCACCAGAGAGCCTATCGGATGGCATGAATTAAAGTGCAGCAAGTGTGGAGCTGGCAATCATTAGACATGCATATCTTCCATTCTATAATGATCCATATGACTGTTGCCTTAACTTTAAGGTGAGTGGCTTGCACCAGACTAATGTAATCCTCCATTCTATAATGATTCATATGACTGTTACCTTAACTTTAAGGTGACTGGCTTGCAGCAGACTAATGAAGACCATCTCTAGAGCAAAAACAGCAGCAGTAGAATGTTTCAGCAGAAGGAAATGATTAGATAGAATAATAAGCATCTGACTGAAGTTTTCAGAGACAGAATTATTCCCAATTGAACGTGTTATCCCTGCAAGGTGGATATATTAGTTAAATATTTTTAATATTTCGATCTTTAGACTTAAAAATTTTATATTTAAATCTTTATAGTTATGAAAATAAAATATTTATCTCATTTACTCTAATGTTATCGGTTTTATTAACGGAAGCACGAAAATAATAGGCAAAAAGATAATTTCAATGATAAGTTATGTTTTCGATGGTGACGAACGATGACGTCACTGGGAATAGTTGGTCATTGTTATGGATGAGGAAGGAGAATGACAATGAGAGGTAAGATGACAATACATATGTCGATGTTTTGCATTTGAGTTGGCGTCGCTCGATAACTACATGGACACCGATATAAATATAGATCGACGAAAGGGTCTTGTAGTATTTGCATCTGCATTTGCGTCAACGCTGACGCAATTATTGAGTGCACGAAAGGATCGCTCGACATCTACATCGGCGCCGATACATATGCAAAACATTATCGCTCTACATATACATTTACGTTAACGTCGATGCAGATATCAAGAGGCCCTTCACCGCTCGACAGCTGTGTCAGTGCCGATGCAGATGCAGAGCGTCGACATCTATATCATCATCTCACCTTTCATTGTTGTTTTTCCTTCTTATCCATAATAACTACCCATGACCCTCAACGATGTTGTTGGTCGTCATTACAAAAACCATAACTAGAACGTTAAAATTATTTTTTTGTCCATCATTTTTATGCTTCTATTGGTAAAACCAACGATGCTCAAGTAAATAAAGCTAGATGTTTCACTTTCACAACCGTAAGAATTTTAATTTAAAATTTTTAAATCTTGAGGAACTGAACGAGCTGCGTTCATAGATGTCATTGTGATGTGAGAAGGACCTGCATCAAGTTGGCAACTTGGGCAAAAGACAATGGTGAGAACAGAAGGAATTCCATGTATAGAACAGTAGCACTCACCTTAAATGCTTCATATATAAGGGATTATCCAAGTGGAAGACTTCTTTCTACTACTGCAATAATAGCCTAAAACCCAAAAGAGAGTGATGCTAATAGAAACCAGAAGAAGGGATTTGGGTTGATGCTCGAACGATTCATTATTGGAGTAGAATTATTGCACGCTTGGAATGAGATGAGGGGTTTGGGTTGGCACTGCAACTTCCATTGTTGTCGACATCTGCTATTTGCGCTTGGATAGTTGCTGAATTAGGTTGATGACTCAGTAGTACTGCTTCAGAGGAATGGTTGAAGAAGAAGAAGAAGAACAAACAATTTTCTTAGCTTCATAAAAGCTAAATTAAAAATCAAGCATGGGGTGAGAGAGGCTCGAACTCTCGACCTCAGGATAACTCGGGAGCTATGAGACCTACGCGCTAGCCAACTGCGCCACCACCCCATTTTGCTTTGAATCGTTGCTAGATTTTGTTAATGAGTAAGTGACTTCAGACGGAGAAGAAACAGTTTTCTTAGCTTTATAAAATCTAGTTAAAAAATGATGGATGGGGTGAGAGAGGCTCGAACTCTCGACCTCAGGATAACTCGGAAGCTATGAGACCTACGCGCTAGCCAACTGCGCCACCACCCCCAATATAATTATTGGTATATTTCATTAATGAGTTAATGTCTCGAAGGAAGAAGACAAGTTTTCCCAAGTTTCATAAAAGCTAAATTAAAAGTTAATATGGGGTGAGAGAGGCTCGAACTCTCGACCTCAGGATAACTCAGCAGCTATGAGACCTACGCGCTAGCCAACTGCGCCACCACCCCTTATTGGTAGTTCTGAAACTGTAACAATTGAAAGTTCTACATCACAATTATAGATGATTTGAAGATATAGCTGACAAGTATTGAATTTCTGAAAAGAATTCTGCTGTCACAGAGAGTACAAGAAGAGAATTGATAAAAGAATTGTCAAAAACCAAGCAATGTTTCAGAGCATGGACAGGGGTTCTACTCAATGGCGAGAGAACTGATTTATTTGATCGAATCTATCCTTTAATCAAGAGTATCAGGTGAAGAATCCGGGGAGGCACTCGACAAGGTCACCTAAGTCTTGATCTGGTCACTTCATATGCCAAGAAACAAGCTGCATTAGCTGGGACGCTGCGTGCCATGGCTGGTCCGAAACCTCTGTACAGGCCCTTCATTCCCTCTGCAGCCAGTATTCTCCTGAAGGCATCAAGGGAACCAGAGTACTTTGGGTTCTTGAAACCATCAACCTGAATCGCGCTCTTCACGACGTCGGTTGGGTAGACAAATAGCCAGAAAGATGCTCCGGCCAGGCCTCCAGCTACGATCAATGGCCCCCTTCCCAGCCCTGAAGTGTCTGGACCCCCGGCAAAATACTGCTTGAGGGCTTCATATACACCAAACATGGCAGCATTACCAGGAGCTTCACGTGCCAGGGTTGGAACCAAGCCTTTGTATAGGCCTCTAAAACCAGCTTCTCGAACAACATGCTTTGCCACATCGATAGGTCCTCCATACTTCGTTGCAGCAGATGAAGCAGCTGAGTCTGCTAGGGCGCTCTGAGCTTGCAGCCTGATTTGCAGTGTCATCAAAAGCAAAAACGACAATGTTTTAAATCAACATATACCAAACCTAACTCTGCTAGAAACTTGAATTTCCTTTTATGGGTTTTACTGATACCATGTACATCTCCCCAACAACTGAGTCATTTAGATCAAAGAATTTTGTGAATCAATCAATCTTCCTTCTATTACAGATGCCTTGAGAGATTATGGGAAATGTTATACATGATAAATGTTATTTTGCAAGGTTCATAGAGAAAACAAAAAATTAAGAGAATGTTATAAATGTTAAAGCCTCACTTATTTACTCATGGTTCACTTTGTAAGACCTGATTTATGTAAAACTTCTGTAGAGAAACACCTTCATGGTACTGATGTGGTATTTATGTCCAATCAATATGGCATACAAAAATAGAAATAAAGCACATGTGGAACTCAACACAAGATGGGTATGAATGTGCATGGCACATGCGCCGGGTGAATAGTAGAAACAGCTCAAATTTCTTGCCAGCGACCATATAAATGAGTCTAGTAGTTAGGTTATTCCCGTAAAATGCTAAAGCCACAGAGAAATAGAAGTTATAAGACGAATAAATAAGAAAAAGCTAATGGGATCTTGGTTGATCATTAAAACACATCAGTTCTACTCTTCTAGACTTATCTTTCTAAAAGGGAGTTGATGCTAGGACCACTTTAGTTTGATATTTGTTATGTATCTTACGCATCAGGATAACTGTCTTAAATAGTTTGACTTGCTTATTCAAGTAATTTGGCATGTTTATGTGGCCAATGACAAAAAGCAGAAAAGAAATGAAAAGCAAAGAAGCACAATGGTGCCGAACAAACAATTTCTGATGATTCACTGGATTACATAGCAGAAAAAGCCTCTAACTGGCTAAAACGCAGAAGTCACAGGGTGAGTATAACCATGTAGGCACCAGAAGGCACCATCGAGTCATCAGCATGCTGAGACTGTATACTCCAGTTGTTCACAACATTATTGATCCATTGCTGAACTAAATCACAACAACTGGACTTCCCCGACAAATTGTGTTTTAATGTGAACTCATCCTACGGTATAGTCCTTCCAGCGAAAAATGACTTCTTGCAGAAGATAAAAGAGCAATGACGACTGACCTGCACTTGATCAATTCTGTTGGAGATGCTAGGAAGGAAACTGCAACTCCAGCACCAGCACCACATACAACTTGCTGATTCACCGTAAGTGGAGCGCCAGGTTCTGACCTCAATAATGCCTCCATTTGTCCCCTCACAGTAAACAGAACAGCATTCAATGCTGCAACAGTTGCCAGTGGAGCACCCATCCCTTTATACAAGCCCCTTGGGCCTTCAGCGGCCATTGTTTGCCTCACTGCATCCATAGCGCCAGAATATTTGGGGGGTTGGCCAGGTAGTGGTGCTGGTTGGCTTTGAAGCTTGACCTTAATGGTGTCAAATGGATGGCCCACGATCAGCTGCGCAGCCCCACCAACAGTTCCGGCCGCCAGGTCCTTGGCGACATCTGCCATCTGTTAGATGCAGAAAAACAGAACAAGGCTTAGCAACCGTATTGGTTGGTTTGGGTTCTTCTTCTGGCCCAGCTCTTTCTAATTAACTGTCAAATTCCGATCACAACATATGCTACTCAGGTTAAGAAAACAACACCTATCAAACACATGATTAGCATCACCGACTAAGACCAAAAAATTGAACTTTCAATGGACTTTCAGTTGCCTGAAGCCATTAGATGCTATTGAGATTTATTTTGACAGACTGGCCTATGTGTAAATATTATAGCAATTGAAAAGGAGAACAACTTCTGTTCTCATTTATTATCAATGAACGATTGCATTGTGCAGGATAAAGACACTAAAAGAATCAACAACCACCCCTTTTTCAATATCATTGACATCAGGAAATTTTCTATATTAACAACAGCGGATCATGACAATGATGCTGTATCAACCAAAAATCATGCATCAATATAAAATAAGATGACGCTGTAAAATATAATGAAAACATGAAAATTTATGTAGCTCCACCTTGCTGTCCAATGATGTATCTTCAAGATACAAATTCATGCAATTGAGAAACAACCAATCAATTAATAGAATAATAAGAAAGAGAAAAAGGACACTTGAATATAAATGGCCACATCAAAGATGGATTAAATTTCTGAAAAGTTGCTAAGATCTAGAAAACCAAAAAGTCCCATTACCTTGTTCGAATAGGCAATGAAGCACTGAAGTCAGGACCAAACTCATTGCAACAAAATTTTCCAATCCAGACCAGATTGAAGCAATACAACAAACACCTTAGATGGACAATTTCTTGACGTTGACACTGAATCCTATCCTCTTCTGCTTTTCCCTAAAGTTCTTGGTCTTACTCTCAGAATCTTGTTCTCAGAGATACACGCATTCCCTTACATCGCACTCGATACTCATCGACCCACACAAGGAAATGGACCTAGAAGTTAAAAGACAGCCACAATCTCGAAATGTGTCTTGGTGGCCATACAACAAATATCTAGTTGTTAGTCATTCCAAGATCTTAGATCCCCATTCTTGTGCCATCCCGCCTCAAGCGCAAAAAGCTTCTAATTGAAATCATCGACAGGTCATTATCCCAGTAGAACACGAGAAGCGTTCTCGAATACTGCCCCAACTAGAAAATATATAGGCAAGCAAAAGAAACCCTTTACTCGATCGATCTACTGAACAATCTTACACGACGCCCCAACACCGATATATTCTTCCAGATTGAAAGGTCCACAGATCCCAAGCCGGCAGGAACAAAGGGGCAGCTTGTTCGACGATCGAACAAAAAGCGGTCCCGAATCCAGGAATCAATCAGACAAACACGGCCGATAAGCACCCGCTGATAGTCTCCACGGAATGGAGGGCGAAAGGAGAGATATTTACCTCGAAAGAACGCCCTTTCAACTGGCTTCTCCTCCTCCCAAGCGGGACCAGAGGAGGAGGCGAGGCGGCCGCCTGGCACGCTCGCTACTCACCGAAGAAGAACGAACGAGAGAGAGAGAGAGAGAGAGAGAGAGAGAGAGGCGGGACTGCCTTTGACCGAAGGCGAGAAAGCAGACAAAAGCTGGCGGCGGATGACTGGGAACGCCCGCCGAGTCGGAATATATACGTTGAACATTTTACTCCAACTATGGAGTTTAATTATATAATCTTATTTGGATGAATTTTCAGAAAACGTCGCTAAATATAAAAAATAATTTTTGTCACTAAATATAAAAAATAATTAATATTTTTATTGTTGAGTGAGTCCAATAAGACGAAGGCATGATTAAAAACTAAACAAACGATAAAAGGTGATGATCGATGATGATAGAATGATCATTTTTAAAAAAATTTAGATATTATTGAAAAATTTTCAAATTTAAGATTTTTTTCAAAAAAAATAATAATATATTAATATCATTTATAATGTCTATCTAAAATCGATACATCTTTCCTAAGCATTAGAACCGCAGTAGTATAATAGCAAATCTCTTCAGGTAGATATGCACCGGATATTAATTTTATAGAAATTCAGTAAATCTTTCTCCAAGGAACTTAATATTCGATGCTCTTTTCACCAAAATTTTACCAAATTATTTCCCATTATTTGAATTTTGACCCTAAGTCATGCCACGGCTCCGAGATCCGTGCTGTCGGCAGATCCTGGCCGTACACTCGTGGTGGAGCGTCTTTATTTTCTGGCATGATGGGCCTCCCAATCAAAATATGCGTACTGCTGCAGGCTATAAAATAAATTAGTATTAGTACTATTTCGAACTACGCTTTAATCTAATTTGATGTTACCTATATATATATATATATATCCTGATGGCGATTAAGGGCTTCATGTTGAACCCATATGGTTGAGAAGGCCCATTGAGGCTCCGAAACCAATTAGGCCCGTTTTCGATTTTGTTCCGTTACCGTGGCAGGAAGCTCACCGACAAAATCCGACCCGTTGTGTCGGCCCAATCGCACAATTCCCGTGCCAAGTGGGCTCCACATATTACCCGGCCACGTGGGGAGCGTGGGTGAGATTGATGGAGCCCGGAAAGCGCACATACCGCATTCCCGCGTGGAAGTTCGTGCGCTTCTTGATGCGTGCTGCACGTGCGCCGGCAGCGGGAATATCTCGATCGCCGGGCGGCACGTGAAGCCATGCAAACATCATCATCACGTGGACTTCCGATCCCGGATCTTCCTTCCGTCACAGCCGTCCATCAGCCTCACTCTCTTTGAGCTTACCGAGTGACGACATTCACCTTGTCCAGCTAGCTATCCTTCATCGTGGTATAGAGAGCGAACGTCAGCGCCATGAAAAGATTATTCCTCTCTGTCCCCCTCTCTCTCTCTCTCTCTCTCTCGCTCTCTCTCTCACGCCTTTCTTTGTGAGGAATTCATGCTAGTCATTAGCAATCAGCGAATGACAAATTCCAGGCTTATCTTTCAGCACAAATATTTAATGTAGAATCCGTGCTGGCTGACACAAACTGGATCGATAACACATGATTAACTTTATCTTTGTCGATTAACATAATATGATATTGTCGGAAGTGGCAGGATGATTAGGTGAAGTTGCCCCATGATAGAGTGAAAGGTTGCTTTTAATGGACAGCAGTGGGAAGAACATATCTGTAGCCACTCGAGAACACACACACACATATATATTCTCAGCTTCGATTTCAATGCTTCATCAGGATTTCAGTGACTATTACAATCATTCAAGCTTTTGGACGAAAACATGTTTAGTCTCTGGAATTTCCAAGCTCTTAATAGTGTATTAACTGCACTAGAACGAGGCTTCCAAGCAGTGGGAAGTCTGAACATTGTGAAGTTTTGAGGCCATGAGAACTGAGTCGACGCAAGGTCAATGCCATTTGATGAAATGCTCGAGGAAGATGGAAGCCATTACTTGCCTTTAGCATTGATGTTTAGTAGAATAATACAGCGTAGGAGTAGAATAAAGTCTACCACATCATTGATTATAAATCAAATTTTGGCATTGTCAGATGTTGGATCTAAGTATTTATTGCTCGAGAAGGATATCAATATTTATTTTTATTTAAAGGTCAAGCCACTTTGGCTACTTTCTCAGTGAATATAATAAGTGCAATGAGTCGTAATTGAACCACACAACATCTCATTTAGCTTCAACTGGATATCCATTTCTTGAAATCTATCTCGTACCCATCGAGATCAGTTGATAACCTCCAAAATGGAACTTTTTGGTGACCATTTTTCTGACGGATTTTGGTAACCATTGTCAATAAAGTATCCAACTTGACTTGTGTATCTGAGCTAGTGTAGATAAAATATTTTCAATCCAAGTGTTCATCATAAATAATTCAACTCTTCTTTATCTGTGCCAATAATGTAGAATCTTAACTAATATATTGTATGACATGATGATTTTTTTTTGTCCAGTCCAAAGCCATAGGCTTCTGATCTTTTCTTATCTAGATAAACAGTAATAAAGCAGTCACCAGGTTACTTCCACATAAAATTTTCCCCTTATTATATAATGTTGTCACATAAAGCAGCCAAAGAAACACCAAAAAAAATGAATGCAGAGGTGACTATCTTGTACCAACCTCCATGTTAATGCTCCATTATCTATTCATGGCAGTCCCTGAAAGCTAGAAGAAAGTTCTTCTCATCATCCAATGATCACATTGTAGAATATTTTCAATGCTTAGGCATTATATTTTGTGATGTTGAACATGAAAAATAGATTATTTATAGGGGAAAGCAACTCCAAGTAAACTGCATTCTCAACTGTCACTTCTGTATAGATAGACATATTGTCTAACTTAATAGCTCAAGGGCTCTTCTACAATTGTTTGACTGAGGAAACCCAGGGCTATGTTTGTTTGCTAACTGAGGTGATAGAAAAGAGCCCCTTGAATAGATTGACAGAATCATTATTAATGGAGTTGTGGGGAGATGAATTGAGGCTGGGCAGCTATGTATTCCATCTGTGATTGGGAATAACCATATGTCGCTTGGCTTCAGAAAGGTGACATGCCATGAAGCTAAGCACTGTCCTCAGCTTCAAGCTTGGGCATCAGCTTTGTGGAATCTGAACTCAGTGGAACAGACAGAGATTTGATTAATCTGCTTGACAATGTCCAAACACATAGCGACATTGGCCGATCACCAACAGTATCGAAAACATATATTAAGTCTCTTTGTTAAAGCTGGAGGCGACAAGCTGCAGTGCAAGTCACCCTCCATGGAACCTCCACCAAAAGAAGCCAACGAGCCCTACGGCATCTCCGAAGCCGGTCAAAAGCAGCACGCAGCATATGCGCTTTAGATCTCGAGCCACCACCACCACCACCCGCGGCGTTAGCTAATCCATCGCCGACTCAAGCTACGCTTAACCCATGCACAGCCCAAGGGGATAAACCTGTCTCCTTTGCTTCAGTTCTCGGCCTTCAATCCCTTTCTTCAACCCTTTACTTAAAGGTGGGTGGTCTCATCCATACTATCTTATGATCAGCTGGCGCAACCCAATCAAAACAAGAAGAACAAGGAGAAGAAGAAGACTGGTCCATTAGGGCGACGGAGGGGCTTCTCAATCGACAGACGTGGGCCTACCCGGGTTTTACGGGGTGTCAAAGGAGGCGGAGGAGGAGGGGGTGGTGGTCCCACGGACAGCGACGGCGGGACCCGCGGCCGACAGCCACGCGGGTGCTTCGGTGGGTTTGACTTTTGACTCACTCACTCTTCTCTGTCAATCCCGATGCGTAGATCGTCGTAAAACCCGTCAAGCCGGACCGGTTCGGTTCACCTAAATTCGCGGGTTTGGGTCGAAGAGTTCGGGTTTAGCACCGGTTGGGTTCACCTAAATCCAAGGTTGATTCCTAATCAAATTGATTTTTAATTCTTTAATCGTTTTGTTATTATCCATATCAACGAAATAATCATCAATATAAGAATAATTAGACTGTATTCGGGTTGACATGGCATATCAATATTCTCACACAATACAAAACAATAATTCAACTCAATGCAAGTAGGTGCATGCAGCACGGCTTGGCTTGTTCTTCGACCGTATAGTTGAATGCTGTTGGTGATCCAATATGGAGAACTATTAGATGAACAATATGGACCCTCAAGTCAAGTCAGATGTCTCTAAGGTGGAAAACGAAGAAACGCCAGGTGGATAATCATGCATGTTTTGGCTTAGTATATATATATATATATATATATATATATATATATATATATATATATGATGTAGCAAAGCCTTTTAATCTTTTTTATTGAATTTATAGGCTAATTATATATATATATATATATATATATATATATATATATATATATATATATATATATATATATATA